TTTTTTTTTTTTGGCTTAAGCAACATGTCACCAGAATAAAGTCGACATTTTCCTGCCAGTCTGGCCATTTATGGTAGCTCCTTCATATTTTCTTTCTCCCTTATCTTTTGTTGATTATGTTTACTGATAAGTGAACAAAAGTGCTCATATTTTTAACATTAGCTTATCATGTTCCTAATTATTCAGAACGATTCTTCTCGCTGTCTTAAGAATGCTTGAATGAATAGCCTGGCCAAGGTTGCATCACTATAGCTTAGCCTTTATTTGTTTTAATTTCTATTCTGTTGTTGTTCTGCCTGATATTTGATAGTATTTCTTATGTGCCAGGTTGTTGTTTGCCTGTTGCTTCGGAAAACAACTCCTCTAATGAATTACATACAAGTGAGTTGTATACTACCAGATAATCAGTTTTGTATTTTCTTCCTGACTTGCAGCTACTTAATATGATATATCATCTAGATATCTTTTTAGACTCATAATTATGTGCTTGATGGTTTGGGTCCCTGGAAATTGAATTCAGAGTAATGCTTGTCTCTGTGATAATCAACCCCAAATTTTATGAAATTGAGTTTGTCCACTGTTATGATGTCATTCTTTACATGTGTTTCTGATATTGTTGAGAAGACACGTTATGTGGTACTTTTTATGAACATAAGGTAAAATGGAAGTCTTACATAAGGTAAAATAGAAGCTTAATGCTTCATAATCCTACAACAGTACACATCAGATGTGAAGAATCTCACTTGTGTGTTGTCATTTAGTTAGTCTTTCTGAAGAGTGAAATTGTAGTGAGGACTGTGTATTTTGTTTTCAAAATTTTGTTGCTTAACTTCAAGCAGGTTGAAGTCGGCCACGATGCTGGCATGCTAAAACTTCAGAGAATCAGTTATCCGAATAGCAGTAGATTTAGATATCACAACTTTGTTTTAACTATCATTTGGTGGTTCTATATCATTGGTTGGCATTGGTTATACCTCTTAGCTATTTGGATGTTAAATGGTTGGTTATTTTTCTTATCTCCATTGGTTGTATATCATTTAGCACTTCAGCCATGTGGTTCAATATTCATTTAATGCTTGTACAGGCTCACCGGGAAATCATTAAAAGGCTTGTTGACTTAATTGGAATTACATCTATAATGGAGGTATGCTGTTTAATTGTACTCCTCCCTCCGTAGTCTCTTTTTACTGTGTTTGTTTATTAAAATCACAATAAGTATCTTGATGGACAGGTTTTAATTCGTCTAATTGGCGCTGACGAACACATCTATGCGAACTTTCCGGACTCTATGCTTTGGTTGGAAGATATGAATGTGCTGGAGATGATTGTTGACAAATTTAGTTCATCTGTAAGTTGCAGCAAGCATGTAATCGTGGCATCAGGATGCTATTTGTGTATACTGAAAGTGTTGCTATATTTAGGGCCTTCCAGCTATCTTGAGTGAAATGATTCGATACCGGGTGTATTTTTATATTCTTGGGTTTATTTTTATGTTATTGATGGCATGGAATTAATTTGCTGCTTCCAGATTGCGTCTGTATTTGCATGTTTTATGCTTCTGATGCTATTTGATTAGCATTTTTTCAGTGGATGTATTGAACCAGCCTCTGATCCCTTAGAATTTTTGAAAATGATGTCATATATTAACCGATTTAAAATTTTATGCATTCTCTTTTGGTGAGTATCCAACGCTATACATATATTTTTATTTTCTGTATTCTCAGGACTGCCCTGAAGTACATGCTAATGCTGCAGAAACACTGTGTACGATAGCTCGATATGCTCCACCTGGGATAGCATCGATAATCTCCAGCCCGAGGTTGCATTAGTTATCCCTATGTTGATTCTTCCTTCTCTGTAAGAGTTGTCCTTTTCTTTCTCTCTTATGGTGATTGAGATTTTGTCATTGCAGTTTTATAGGAAAATTGTTTGGTCATGCTCTGGAGGGCTCAAGGCCAAAGTCTGTTTTGGTTAACTTGTTATCTGTCTGCATATCCTTGTTAGACCCCAAGAGGTTTACCTCAGGGACGTATTACTTGTATGGACGCCAAATGACACATGGATCCGGAAGTTTAGCTAATCCTGAGACTGTTCAAGGCATGCTGGAGAGACTAGGTAAGCTCTTGAATATTTTTATTTGTCTGGAAGAATGCTAATTGCTATAAAGATACAGATAGTTTGGCGTAAGAATTCAAAAAATATTCTGTCATAGTAGACTTTTTTTTCCTATTTATCTCGATTGATTAGGCATATTACTTCTGCATTACTGAATTGTGATGAGCTAATTTTCAAGTTTTGAAGCTGTAAACCATTAAGTATTGGTGGGCTCACTTTAAGTTTTTGACTGACAAGAACTGATTAATTTGTCAAGTGTTCCAAGTGTAAGATTTATCTTAAAAACCTTTTGTGACACATGCCTGAGGATTCAAATAATTGTACGTATGTTCCATGGATGTGATAATTAAACTATTGGTAATGATTGTTGAGATATCAGTTAATAGAATAGGAGGCTTCATAAGCTTGAATCTTGATGGTGGTTGTTAGGTAAGAATTAATGCACACTACCTTAAACAAATCTTGATGAGTTAAAGGAGAAAACTATAGTGATTTCTTCCCTTAAAAGAGACATGGGAAAAGCCCAAAATAATGAAGCGTTATATTTGCTCCTTACCCTTTTATAAGACATCTCAGCTGTATGTTATGTTAGTTGTGACCATATCTTTATATGGAATTGAATGATGCAATGAAGTTTTTCGTTGCCCCAGGCGATCTGCTCAAGCTTTTGGATACTTCATCTGAGGATCACAGCTTGCTTACTACGTATGGCAAATTGCGGCCTCCTTTTGGAAAGCACCGGTTGAAGGTATCTTCTTTCATTACCCAAGAAGTATTATGATTTCTTGATGCTCGGAATATATAATTTTGTGTGGACTTATTCTACTTTAGTATTGTTTGGCTTTATTGTCAAAATAGTTATCAATGCATTTCCAACACCTAATTTAATTATTGATGTTTCTGCTCTGAATTCTAATGTGCTATGAAGGTTTTTATTTTATTTTATGTTGGCAAAATTGCCCAAAATATCACGACCATTTTTGAAATTGCAATTTAATCACTACGTTTTCACTTTTGCAAATTATATCACAATCTTCATTTTGTTGCAAATCGGTGCACGGGTTCTGAAAAACAGCTCTAAAAAAGCTGATGTGTCCGAATAACAAACCGAATTGTGATATAACTTAAAAAAGTGAACAAGTTTTGATTAAATTGCAATTTCGAGAGAGGTTGTGATACTAAGGGTAATTTTTCCTTTTATGTTTTCCTCTTCTGCTGCACTTTTATACATTCTCTTCAATGTGGTATCCAAAACTTAAAATTCTGTTTCTAATGATATAATTTCTTAAATGCCATGGAACTGAACTCTGATTGCAACCTTTGATGGATGCCCCAGATTATAGAGTTCATTTCAGTCTTGGTGGCTGTTAGTAGTGAAGTTGCAGAAAAAGAATTGATTCGCCTGGGTGCTGTGAAGCGTATTCTTGGATTGTTTTTCGAGTACGTGTTTACCCAATTTCAGCTCTTGATATTATTTTTACTTCCACGGAATTTAAAATCGTTGTTTCTCTCAGATATCCATACAATAATTTCTTACATTATCATGTGGAGCACATTGTTACGTCCTGCCTGGATAGCAAGAATCCGCAGTTTGTCAACCATCTTTTACATGAGTGTAATCTTATTGGGAGGATATTAGAAGCAGAGAAAAATATCACTTTGACAGTTGATACAAGCAAGGTAATTGTCACTCATCTATGGTCTATGGTCTGGTTTGATGTTTGTATCTTTTTTTTTTTTTTTTTTTTTTTTTTTTTTTTTTTTTTTTTTATTTTATCTATATTGCCACACGTATCTATGCCCATTAATTTCTTATATTCTTGCGTTCTGTGATTTAGGGCCATAAAGTCCATCATGATAGGATCAATTTCTTTTGACAATTTGATGCATTTTGCAGCCTACTATAGCTGCTGAGGGAAGATCACCCCCAAGGATAGGGAATATTGGTCATCTAACCCGTATTGCTAACAAACTTGTTCAATTGGGGAATAGCAACAGTGAGATACATACAGTTTTGCAGGTATTGCTGATAATTACTTATTTTTCACTGTTAATTTTTCACTTGGTTTATCATGATAGCCTCCATCCAATGACACCCTCCCTCCCCTAAAGAAAAGGAGAGGAAAAAAAAAAAAAAAAAAAACATGTCATTGTTTTGTTGAGTTGGATTCCTTTGTGCCTATTTTTGGAAGTACTATTGTCTGTTGCGTGATCCGTATTATTTCCTTGGTATTGTACACATGCCAACATTAAGGGCTATCTTGTATATGGTATGCCAATTATATCTATATTTCCTCTAAACAAGGTCAAATGTTTATCTTTTGATTTCCAGGGGAATAGTGATTGGGTGGATTGGCAGAACAATGTGCTGCTTAAGCGAAATACTGTGGAGAATGTATTGCAATGGGCATGCGGGTTGGTATTATAAAATTTGAACCACTGCATCTTTGAATTCTTTGTCATGTGCTCATAGTGGTTTTCCGCATATAAATTTGTCTTATACAAAATCCCAAATTCACTTGAATGAGGGCCTAGATGTTCATGCGCAGTTAAGAGGGTGCCATGTTATAGGACAAGCTATTCCATTTTTATCTTATTCTAATATTCCATGTCATTTGGGTAGAGCCAGTTTTGTGTTCTTGAGAGAAAAATGAAAGCACAAGTCATGTCTAGTATGATAAATGGGAACTTATCTTTGAGGCACTTCAGTAGACTCATAAAATAACTTGTAAATAAGATGAATGCCTGTTCATTGGCTAAAGTGGTATAATATGTGATTTGGGTTGCTTTCTCTTTGTTTTTAGTGAACGGTGATAAAGCACAGTTTAGTTAGGCAATACTTACATATTCTGCCATGGCATGGCTGGCTTATTACATTTTGATTTTGATTCTGTTTTTGAATGAATGGCTAGAGTATATTTATTAAGTGGATGTTCCATTTTGCTGAATCTCATATTTCTTTTCCTATTTTTGTACAATGGACGTGACATTTGTTAGGATTTTTCAGGAGGCCCACAGCACTACAGGATCGGACACGAGACAGCGACGAGGATGAGTACCAGGACAGGGATTATGATGTTGCTGCATTGGCAAATAACTTGAGCCAGGCTTTCCAATATGGAATTTACAATAATGATGATATTGAGGAGGTTCTCTTTTGTGATTTATCTACTAAGTTATACTATATCTTTTTTTGCTTTTTT